AATATGTTATATCAGTGATAGTAAGGGAGAAATCTTTAAATCGGTAATCAAGTATACGAAAGTAGATCAGGAACTAGCAAGCTAACTAGTATATATTCAGGGACAATAAAAGAACAAAATTTGAAAACTACTAATTGTTCTCACTATCGTGAAAAAAAGTAAAACTTGAATTTATTCTTTCGTTAAAATGTGAAAAATCCAAATTTATTAGGTATTTCAATTTTTCAGTTTTTTCATGTTTTTTTGTCAACTATTTTTGCTAACTTTGAAAATTCATTCCAACTTATTTTTCTTATGAATTTGGATTAATATAATCCTTAATGAACATTAAAATTTATCAAGTGTCTTCTGTAGTATTTTCTTCAATGACTTCATATGAACACAATTTTTATAATAAATAAAACGGACTACATTCATTACCTTCTATCATAAATTACAGTCTTTTTCTTCGTGTCACGTGCCTTCAACCTACTAAATATATTGTACGCATATTAGATTTTTATACACCCTTCAGTATACGAAAGATTTTTTTATTTAATGTCCGTTGTTTCTTTTGTATTATAATAATTTCCAGAACCTTGTGGCTTTCTTTGCAGCAAGTACTTTTTAAAAAATCAATTTCATCTTATGCAAAGCGGTAAAACTACTAAGACACAAGGGGCGACTGAATGTAAAAGAATTAAAAACAGAAACATTATTAAGGAGTATGAACAAGAGAAGAATAATCAGGAATACAGTAGATAACAACTGACATTGTATTTCATTTTTGAAAATCAAAGTCAAAAAAAAAAAAAAGAAACGAAAGAGAAAAAAAGAAAGAAAGCAAGAGAAAAAAATCTTTCCGAGGATGCTAAGTGACGTAATCTAATGTCTAATACTTAAACATTTCTGTTAACCTGATGAATATTTATGAGCGTCTTTAAATTTAATAATTTTGAGTAACGGATAAATAGATACTTGTTGCAAAATAAAATCATTACATTTATGATAAAGTCCGTCAGATGATGAAACGCGTCGGCTAAGACTAAATATAGTTTTCCTCTTGACTTTTTTATTCATATGACTATAGACACGGGTTTGCTTCTGTTCTACCAATTCCGCTTTTGCTCCAATAGAAAAGATTCAAATACAGTCATCGCTACAATGTCACTGTTTATATATATATATATATATATATATATATATATATATATATATATATATATATATATATTATTTCAGTGCTTTAATAAAACCTACACGTGATATCATATGTAATATTTATTAAACAAAGACGTGAAAACACGTATAAATACATACTTGTACATTGATACCCCCTGAAGAGTGGACGGGGTAATTCCTGAAGGATCCTTCTATGAAATTGAAAAAAATGACAAACTTTTCACTAGTAATAATTATATATGTATCTATATATCTATTGACGTATCGTTTTTCATTAATAAATAGAGCACACTGATTGTCTAGCGTTTGTTTACATTCGTAAAAACAATACGCTAGAATTCGTTTTTATCACAGCCGGAGAGCCGATGGTTTAGGGGTAAAAACTCTGAATCATATTGAATCGGTCGGGTTTCGATTCTGGTTTGGAGCATTCGGTTGTCTTGTCCCCCTGATGGGCTGCGAAACAGGCCCATATGTGAATGACAAGGCGTATATATATATATATATATATATATATATATTCGTGAAATACATCTGATTCATGTTTTAGCACACATTAACAAATTTTAGCCGAGTTTTATTAGTTTTTTTTTCATCTCCCTGAAACAAAGATCATCTTCCAGAATGCACTTACCGCTATCGAACTAGATGAAAAAAATTTATGGGAGGATTTCAAAGTGAAAGTGCTTTCAGCAGCTCATGGCATTTTAGGAGTTCAGAAAAAGAAGTGCCAAGACTGGTTTGCTGAAAATTATGAAGAAATTGATGCACTTCTTGAAACAAAACGCAATCTTTTCCAGAAAACCTTGTCACCAAGTCTATCTAACCAAGCAAAAAATGTAAGCTACAAAAACATCCAAGGATTTCCAAAAAGTGGCACAAACACGTATGCGTGAAATCCAAAACCAGTGGTGGCTCAAGAAAGCAGAAGAGGCACAACTTGCAGCAAATAGTAAAATTGTTTTACCAAATAATCAAAGAGCTCTATGGTCTGCAGCAATCAACTTTTGCCCCTCTCAAATCAAAAGACGGTACCATATTGAGACAACGAGAGGATATCAAGAAACGATGGTGTGAACATTATAGCGAACTCCTTAATCGCCATCCAGTCGTTGATGAATCTGTACTAGATCTCATTAAGCAACACGAGCCAATTATGGCTCTTGATGAAGTACCTTCCAGAGGTGAGATAGAAGCTTCTGTGAGTCAAATGAAAAACAACAAAGCGCCAGAAATGGATGGTATAACAGTAGAGATTCTAAAGAATGGCGGTGAGAGAATGATCGATCTCCTGGAGCAAGTCATCCAAAATGCATGGGGAAGTGAAGTACCTCATGACTGGAGAGATGCAATACTTGTGTCTTTGTATAAGAAGGGTTCCAGGTCGGACTGCGGCAATTTTAGGGGTATATCTACTTCGCCATAGTCTTTCTCGTGGCCTTCTATGAAAACCCAAACGGTATTTACATCAGATATCGGACATCTGGCAGTGTATATAATGTCCGTAGACTGCTTTCTCAAACAAAAGTCTCTTCCGCATTGGTGAGGGAGCTGCTCTACGCGGATGACTGTGACATCGTTGCACATTCTGAAGATGAGCTGAAATGCTTTATGAACCATTTTGTATCTGCATGTAACTCATTCGGTTTAAGGATCAACCAAAAAAAGACAGTCGTCATATATGATCCAGCACCCTGATCACCCTATATGGAACCAACTATCATCGTTGAAGGAAATAAATTAGACGCAGTACATTCTTTTGTATATCTTGGCAGTACCCTCTCTGAAGGATGCAGCCTCAACAGAGAAATCTCTTTCCGCATTGAAAGGGCTTCTTGGTCTTTTTGAGCACTTAAAAAACGTGTGTGGTCCCAGCATGGTATCAAGTTACATACGAAAATCATTTTATACAAAGTATGTGTTTTGACGGCCCTCCTGTATGCAAGCGAAACATGGACACTTTATAAACATGAACTAAAACTTCTTGAGGGCTTCCATCAACGATGTCTGAGACAGATACTTCATATCACATGGCAGTCCCATGTCTCAGATACAGAAGTATTAGAGAAAGCAGGGCTACCAAGCATTCAGTCGATGGTAATGAAAAATTGTCTCCGATGGGTCGGTCACATTGCGCGTATGGATGACAGTCGTCTACCAAAACGGCTGTTCTATGGTGAAATGTGGGAAGGAAAGAGAAATGCATCAAAGGCGAAGAAGAGATTTAAGGACACAATAAAATCTTACCTGAAACAATCTGGACTATCGGTAGACCAATGGGAAAAATGGCTTTGGATAGAAGTAAGTGGCGGAAACTAATTGACGAAAGCATTGAGTCCTTTGAGAATAGCCGTCTGCAGTACAGTGCCTACAAACGTCTGATTCGTAAAGGCGAACAGGGTCCAGCACCGGGTCCACAAACTCACCACGTTAATTGTGACATATGCGGAAAATTGTGCCTATCTTGTGCCGGCATCAAAATCCATTTGCATAAATGTGCAAAATCTAGTGTGCACTCGAATAATGTCACTGTAAACAAAACTGATCGGGTATGCCAATTCTGTGGCAAAATTTGTCGCAGTTTGGCTAGCCTGAAGAGTCACCTGCGAATACATAGAATTTGAGGGGAGTGGGAGGTGGGTGAGGACATGAAATAAAGGAGGTGGTCACGCTCGAAACCGAGAGGACAACCACGATATATATATATATATATATATATATATATATATATATATATATATATATATATATATATATATATGCCGAGTTTTATTAGGGTTTCGGGTATTTCAACATCATAACCCCTCTCCACGATGACGCAGTCGATACAGATTGAGTATCGACTTGGGTGTCATCCGTCAGATACAACTTATCTCATTTTTAATCACACACTGCGACTCCTCTTCGTAATTTATAGTCCAATCACGGATAACTTTCTGTTCGCCAGCAATCTACGCTCTTGTAAATTAAATAGTTAAAACAAGAAAAATTAAGTAAACAAAGAAACAAATTGAAAATAAACATTTCAATGGTCTATACATATACAAAAATGAGAATTTATAAAATATATTTTTACAATATATGTATATATATATATATATATATTTATATTTTAATATATATATATATATATATATATATATATATATATATATATATATATATATATTTATGATTACAGTGCCGTTTTATTAATTGTACATTGTTGAATTAGTTTAGTTGTTAAGTCGTAAACTGACGTTGGCTTTAACCCTGCGTTCCGGAACAATTTTGACCCTAACCCTGCCTGAGTTTCTGAGTCAAAATTCGCAAATAATTGGTATCTAATGTTTCACGGTAGGTATGAAAATATTTAAGTTTACGCACTGTTCAACCGGTAGCTGGGCATTAAGTCATTTTTCTCTACCCCCGGTAAAGCGTTGGTCAGATCTCAAAGGGTAATATAGCTTTTTAACCCAGCAAGGTATTTGCGCAGCTTGAAGCATATGTGACATGGAAAGGAGATCACCTTCACAGGATTTATTGGATCAAATTAGTTAACATGTTTCATTTAATGTGACGGACAAGGAAAATCTGATAAGTTGTTATTAAGTTTTTCTAATTTTCTTACAGTTTTCGTATAGATAGGTCAAAGGGAGTGCAGAAACTGTCTGTAATGGTTATTGTGAAAAGCACTTTCGGTCAATTCATTAGCCATTTTCAAGAGGTTTGTTGTTAATTGTTTTAATGTTTGTTTTCTAAGGTGTATTGCCAAGACTCAGTAGTAGTTGTAGTAATAATCTTAGGTTGGGCAAAAGTTTTTGGTTTGGTTTGTTTTGTCTTACGGCATATCAACCTCAATGGTTTATTTCATGCCGACAAGATTTTTATCGCTGGTAATAATTTCTATCTATCTATCTATCTATCTATCTATCTATCTATCTATCTATCTATCTCAGCATATATTGGTTTGTTTTACGGCATATCAACCTCAATATGTTATTTAATGCCGACAAAAGTTTCATTGTTGGTAATATTTTTTTCCAGAAATCAATTTCTGGTAACATTTTTTCTTCAAAAAATCTATTTCTGATTAAATTTTTCTTTCGCTGGTAATATTTTTTTCAAAAAAGTTATAGCTGGTAATATTTGTTTTTTACAAAAATTATTGCTGGTAATAAGTTTTTACAAAGTATTTCTGGTATCAAAACCTATTTTTACTCTTTAATAGTGTTTTGATCCCAGTTTGGGGGTTAACTAATTGCCCATAGTTGGGACCCTAACAGGTGCGACCACACCGGGTCAGTGTGGAGCTGGGAACACCAGCAATTAAGAGGTGGTTCCACGCTCCTCAAAACCAGATCAGAGGCCTTGCTTTTGGACGTAGTTTATCGTCTTACCCAGGACGTAGGTTGGGCAAGAGGATGCGGTCATAACTTTATAATGATTTGTCTTAGAAAACTCCCAACACATTATCGCTATTGTTAAATAAAGTGAAGATGATGCTTTTCTGAAATTGTTTTATATAAAGAGCTTCTATAAAATTTTAAATTTAAATTTATAATCATTACTTGATCGTTGATGTGAATTTCATGCAAGAAGAAGTTTACATGATTTCGAAAATATCGGTATATATATTTTTAAAAATCCTAAAAAATAGTCAAGTGTCTTTGGGGAACGAATCTAACACCTCCAAATCGAAATTACTGTCTTTTAGTCATCTTACAGAACAATTTTTACCTTCTATCAATATGTTTGAGGCTAGCCTCCAGGCAGTGGCGTAGCTAGAGTAAACGTCAACCGGGGCGGTCCGCTCAAATGTCACCCCAATGACCCCGATTCACCCTATGCTGAATGGTTAGCTGTAGCTAAATTTTCATACATGCTCTACCTCTACTTTACTCTACTGACCGGTACGTTACTGTTTACATGTATGATCCAAGACAAAATCCAATACCACAAAATAATCAGTTCAAATCAAAAGATTTTTAAAATGCAACTGTTCACTTTCAGAATAACTAAATACAAAACACGGCAATACACAAAAGAATGACATTCGATACTATGGTCTTAGAATGAATGTTTTTTTGTTTTCATTGTGGCAAACTGGTCAATGACATCGTCAAAATCTGTTTATCATGTAAGCTCGTTTTCAATGGACAGCACAGCCAGATCCGACAGTCTCGACTGGCTCATGGTTGACGTAATTTTCTGTTGCTAATTTTCCGGTGTCCAATTTTCCGTTGCATCATTTTCTGGGTACCATTTAATTATCAATGATGTTTGAAATTATTTTTCTTGACAAAAATGTTCTATTTAATTTTTAAGTATTTTTTGGAACATTGTAACTGCATTCTTTTAAGGGTTACCTAGAGAATTTATGCAAAGTTTATTTTTTTGTTTTTATACAAGTAAAATAAATTTACATCGTATTTTGATGTTATTATGATTTTAGTTTTAGTGATAATTTAAAAACAATAAATATTTATCATTAGTACCAATAATGGAAAATTAAGTTAAAAATTTAAAAGAATCGTTTTTGGAATCGGAAAATAGCCACAAATTTTTCCGATTTCGATACCGTTTCCGATACCTCAAAAAGTTCCGATTTTTCCGATTCTCGATTCCGATTCCGATTAATCGTCCCAACACTAGTAGATATATTCAAAAGTATATCGCTCATTCAATGGAAAATTGTATCTCACCGAATTGATACACAGGCAAGACTGAAATTGTTGCACTTTTGGCTTCGTATTTCGCTTTGTTGTTATTAATGATGCAGAGTTTAAACACCATGTCATCCGATAAAATGTTACAACAATGTCTCTTGTTAGTAACCAAGATTGTAGCAATTGAAACACAGGAAAGCTGAAAACATTGCTATTTTTCCTACTCACAAATTTTCCGACAATTTATTAGAAAATTTCTGACGCGGGGACAAAACTGGGGGGGTCATAAATTATTTCTAGGGGGGTCATAAATTATTTCTGGGGGGTCATATGTCCACCTGCGAAACCCTGTGTCTCCACCACTGATTTCAGACTATTTTTGGCACCTTAGCCTGGTTGAAAAATTTTGTTGGGGGTGACATTGTGTCACCCCTCCTGTGCTGGCACCCGGGGCGTTCCGCCCCCTCGCCCCCCTAGGTAGGCCACTGCCTTCAGGAGAACAACTCACTACGCTTTTTTGGTTTCACGTTTTTCACTGAGATGAGCTGGAATGATGATATTGAATAAATTTCTAGGTCTGCTGCTAGGGATGTTGGTTAATTCTTCAGAATCCATCCACCACCCCTTCGTGAATTGAATATTGCTGCCACATCTGGTCTAGTTCCTCTGCTATATCTGCTGAGATTCTGTAATGTTGTTGGCCGTAACCTGGCATCTTGACTTCAGTCGCTTTTCTACCGCAGTGACGTGTCTTCCGTGCGTCTTTTCTATAAATATTTTCACGGCAATCGTTCTAATGATCTTTCCTCCTTGGTACCTCGATCGCATGAATTTAAGCGTAGTACTAGTTTGGCAAATAAGTCTCATCATTTTACTGGTGAAATAGCTAGATACAACCATAAGTTCTATTCTATTCTCGTCGGTAGAAATGTCTTCTGGTTTGTTGATTACCTATCACCTACAATATTCAAAAATTTAATTGTAACATCTATTGTCATCGTCTGTCTTCCTAAATCCTATTCTTTTATTGACCTTTCCCCTCACTAACGTTTTTACATGTTCTTTCACTCCCCTTGCGTCCTAGTGACATTATCGTTTTGTTTGGGTTAAAATGATTAAAAAAACAAAAATAAAATAAAACATTATTTTTTACTCTCTCATGACTATGTAAGTAGCAGTGTGTCAGAAAATGATTTTTGTGACAATGTTTTTGAGTTGAATTAATCAGCTCCCAATTCAATCAACCGATCTATTAAGTATTGAAGTCTCACTCTCTCTTACTGTTTATCTTGCAGTCTGCCTGGGGACAGATTTGGGAATGTCGATCTCCGGAGATGCGGCCACTCGATACGCTCGCTACAAGAATCGTTACTCAAACTGCACATATGTGGACGGCAACCTGGAATTGAAGTACCTCGACCAGGATCGAGACTACGACCTCAACTTTCTCAAAGACATCCGAATTGTGACCGGATACGTTCTTCTCATCGGTATCTATGCACGTTACGTGCCGCTTCACAGTCTTCAAATCATTCGCGGTTACAACAGATTCGAATGGACAGACGGTGCCTTCTGCAGTCTGTGTGTCATTATGAACCACAAAGCTAACGATTCTGAAATTGGTCTTCGTGAATTGCAGTTGCCAGCACTAACAGGTAAATAAAATCATATATATATATATATATATATATATATATATATATATATATATATATATATATATATATATATATATATATGTGTGTGTGTGTGTGTGTGTATAATGCCTGATATTCTTTTTCTCTGTACTGCGTCCCTTCAAGACATGGACGATCATATTTTTACTATAATAGATTACAGTAAAACATTTTACATCGCTACACAAAAGCTTTCATGTTTCAGAACTACAATAGTTCTTCCTCAGACGATGGTAGATAACTTGTGATAAAAATTAACTATTAGGGAAATTTGAAAACAAGTTGTTACCTCTTTTTGGAAGTTAAAAGAGGCATAAGGTCAGAATTAAAAATATACTTGTGGATATATCTAGCCTAGCCAATTAAATGTCAGATCTAAGCTAAAATAGAAAGATAAGGTCAGAGGGTAATGGTGGGTGGGTTATTTGTTCATGTCAAGATAAACTGACGTTTAGATATAGCAGCGACAAAAGTATCCAGGATGTAGCCAAGTATAAAGTTCAGATTTGTTGAAGTAGACAAAGTTTTCAGAAGCAAATTTAAAGAAAAACATTTTTTTTAAATTTTATATACTCAGGAAACTTATTAAAGTAGCCAATAGGTAAAGTTAAAAATATGAAACATTTGTATACGATGCTAATTATACTAAATAGACGGTAGAACATGACAGTATTAAAGTTGAGTAAATCAAATAAATATTTGGGTGGACCATTATATACTAATAAAAAAATGGCTATGTAATTGTAATACATAATTATTTATGAAAGATTCTTTTAATTATATTTTAAAGTAAAAGGTAGACAATGCCGGCATAACATCGTTAATTCATTTCATTTGTTTAACAGGGCTTTATTGCTAGGAACTTTATAATATGCAATTTTTCTTGTAAACACACACACACACACACACACACACACACACACACACACACACACACACACACACACACACACACACATATATACATACATACATATATATATATTGCGTCAAGCGTTTTTTAGTGGATAGTTCTGTTTGAGATAAATACCAGTTTTTATTTTAAACACATTGTATTACGTCTACCGGCCTGCGCACACGAGAAATCTCAATAAAGATAATGTGCTCTACGCCGGGGTTCGAACTTGTGCCCCTCTTTGTAGGGAAAAACCACTGTTTAGGCCGCTCGGCATGCATTTGATTGCACATTTTCTTTATGAATTATTTTCAAGTGTGCAGGCCGATAAAATAATGCATACTGTGATTAAAAACTATGCGTCTATTTCAAATACGGGTATCAGTTAAATATAACGTTTGAAGTAAGAAAAATGTCTGAATAAAAATGTCTAAATGTTGTACTTGGCAACTAACAATCGGCCTGAGCGGAATACCGTCTTTGTGAATCTTAGGGAGACCGTATATGTGAGGTAGCTTGGTGTAACGCTGCTACAACTGCCTATACCTCTTAGGTGCGAAGTGATCCTTGTTCTTGATTAATATCTCTGACAGTTTGCATTCCGTTTTTATTGTAGGATTGTATTATTGTAGGATCCTTTTTTACTTTGCTGTTGCTACTATTTCTAATGAGGTCTTCCAGCTTTTCTGTATAATCTGATTTGTTCATCACTACTGTTGCAAAGCGATAATATCAACGAAAATTGCAATATGAGCTCTGTTAAAAAACATGGAATGACAACAGCAAAAATTGCAATATGAGTACTGGTAAAAAATGTTTGCTGAAGACATTAGATTTATAATACCCAGAAATTCACACGCAGATGTCCTCAAGGACGCATGACACAGTGGATAAAGGCGTTAGTTAGATCCAGTGACAGGACCCAAAGAGTTTGAGTTCAATACCTGGTTAAGAGGGCAATTGATAGGAGATAACTGATAAATGACATGCACTTGGAACTAGAACAGTCTAACCAGTTCAGTCCAACATTCCTATCACGCATTCCAACGGCCGTTGATAAATATGGCAATAAAGTTGAAGACAGTAATTCGAATAATGTAAATAGTGATCTATTTTCGGATACAGAACACTTAATTAACAATTCTTGCATATACAGTCAAGGACGAATTTATTCGTACATCTATTACTTTTGAATATTTTTATAAATTTCTTAGAATCAATTTGTTGCATTTAACCTATTGTTCTGAAAATTGAGTTTTATATTGCTTTTTTTTGTTCTTATTAACCTATAAAAAACTGGCATCATACGGGCATTAGATTCTGAGAAATGGATAAAAATATTCAAAATTGATAGATGTACGAATAATTTCGTCGTTGACTATATATATATATATATATATATATATATATATATATATATATATATATATATATATATATACAGGAGTACCAAAATACTTTAATGTCGGGTTCCTTATACCAAAACAAGGTCAAAAGTCCATATAAACATATGTCCGCAAATCCTTTTGTTTTTGAGTGATTAAGTTTACGGTAGACGCTGTCTAATGTAAAATCCAAGATACAATCCAAAAAAATACCTTTACAAAATTTGGGAGCGGGTTCCCGACACGAAAACAAGATAAAATACGGTATTATGAGATGCACGACATGCTAGGACCACTTGAGGAAGTGCTCATACCTGGATCGTCTCCGACAGTCTGTAGAATGTATTCGTGGTCAGGCGTACGAGCGGATCTCGGTCCTCCTCGATCCATAATTTGTGCTGCAACGGATCCTATCTCATCAAAGCGACGATAAACAGCAGCAAATATTGGATGACTCGGCTTCCTTCAGATTGGAGACGCCATCTGATATAGCCATGCAGCCAATCAATAATCTAGCCAAAATGTGGGATATTTAATAATAAAAGTGATGCAAAGAAAAAGAATCTATATGACATCGGCTAGAGTAATATATCCAAAACACAAACAAATCATTTTTCAATTTAAAATTCCCAGCGTCTCTCGTTTGTGCGCATGTGTAGTGGCATCAACTTAAACATAAACTTAGTCCCATGAAACCCCAGAGGACTAAACGCTTCACACGAAAACATTTTTCACTTTATCTGTACATCTTTCCCCCTTAAATTGTTCTTGATATATAACAAATTATATATTATTTCGTAAAACTTGATATTTTCCCTTCACGTTATTTCTGTGTATAAATAACTTTATAAAGTCTTTCAAGGAACAAAAGGCATTGATAAAGAAAAGATTTCCTTTTGTCTTTTCTTTTATGTATATTGTGATTACAGATATATTTTATTTATATCTGAATTTTTAAACACACACACACACACACACACACACACACACACACACACACACACACACACACAGAGGGTTCGATGGATAAATTGTTGCCATTTTATATTTTTAATTTTGCGCATGCGCGTTGTTTGTTTTGGTTTTGTCAACAGCACATTATATTAGGGTCAGTTGGGCAGCGTCCGTGAGCAAAAGTTCGCCATGACGAAATTCAATCTGCCAGAAATTTGGAAACAGCATACTGTACTTCTTGGTATTCGTGCTGGAAGCTCCAGTATGAACATTTCAGAGTGTTTTGGTGTCAATCTGAGGACAGTGCAGAGGATTCAGAAAGAGTTGGATGAGTATAATGGTTATTACAAATGTGTTTGGAGTGATCACTAATGATTGCGACGTTATGCCTCCATTCATCTTCCCACAGGGCCTCAGACTCAACACGCAGGCCTACATCAGGTGTCTTCAGGAGGTTTTGCTGCCCTGGACCAAATGGGTGGGTCTAGAAAACATCTGACAACAGGGCTATGCACCATGACTCGCAAGCAGAAGAACATAGTCATGACTGTCAGACAATTTCTGCGGCCACATCACCCCTTACATCTCGCCGTCTAACTCCCCAGACTGCAACAACCTTGATTATTATGTGTGAGGCGCAGTTGAACGAGAGACCAACAAAACTCCTTGTAGCACTAAAGATAAACTTAGAGCAAGGATTATGATAGCATTCACCAATTCAAACAAGAAGACCCTCTAGAAGAATTGCAGGAGATCCCGAAGTCGTCTGGAGATCGTGGTTGATGACAGTGGCGGGCTTATAAACAATGCAATATTCGGCTTCAGACACACAGAATAAGTTTTCAAGGTATAATCTTTTTCAAGGAAAAAAGAAGAAAATTACTGTTTTTGCTGTTGAGAAATCGAGCATTTATTTCTTCTGTTGCTGCAAGAATAAATATAATTATCAGTACCATTTCTAAACCTGATTTTCTGTTTCTTTTTGTAGAGATTAGTCGAGGCAATGTTGTGATTTACAAGAACAATTTTCTCTGCTTCATCGACACAATCACCTGGACTTTGATCGTTCCACGCTCTTCACAAGTTACCGTTGTGTATGATGAATCAAGATCCACGTGTAAGTAATTTTCCTTTTTTTTAAAATTTTGATATAGATACTAATTAGAATAAAGCTGGTCCATTGGTTTTTGTTTATGAGAAAACTTTTCTAGTAACAGGACCCAAAGTCTGTGAGTTCAGTACCCGGTTAAGGCAGTGGAGAACTTTCAGAGGGAAATTAACAGGAGATAACTGATAACTGACATTCATCAAACATGGTACGTGGAACTAGAACAGTCTGCCCCAGTGAGCGAAATAAAGGGTTCAGTTCGACATTTCAACCACGGGCGAAACGTTGTAATAAATATGGCGACAAAGATGAGGACAATAGTCCGAAGAATGTAATTTTAATAATACCACATTGACTTACTAAAAATGCTCATAATCTAACAGTTGTAAAAATTTATTATTATTAATAATAATACTATTAATAATAAAATAAACTTTCATTTATAGTTTTATAATTTGGTACTTTGGTATCAGCGTGTACATCCTTGTGCAAATTAATTGAAACAACCGCTTTAGTTTCTTTTCTTTCACTATACGTTCAGTTTTAGACCCACTGGGGTGACAGGGTGTAATCAATTTCTATTTTTTTCATCAGATTAGGTTATTTGCAGAAGTGAATAGTAATATGAATTTATTTTCGGGGTATATGATGAAATTTGTTTGGTCTTGAAAAATGTTGCGTCATTCGTGATTGCATCAGATTTTCATCACGCCCAGGCACTATTGTCTCGACTGTCGATTAGTTTTCCTACGGCCATTGCCTTCGATGGACATTGCTCCAAGAAGCGTACGAAAATTTTAACACTGCACAAACACATTGGTAAGCCTTACCAGTGAGCAAATCAAGATACTATAGACTGGCCCGGAAACTCTCCTGATTTAAATCCAAACAAGAATCTGGTCAATCTGCAAGGAACGACTTCGTGGAAAGGACATACGAAGTACTAATATGTGCACTGGGTCATGTTTCATCGGAAAAATACGGAGAAAAATCTAAATAATAACGGAATTATTCGTTTCGTTTCAATTAATTTGCACAAAGGTGTATGTCTAGGTATGATTTATTTTCTTTTATAAGTGTGGTAATAAAATAAGCACACCGCGTCTCCCATCTCGCTTGCAACCATCCATCACAATAAAATAAACGTTTTTCAGCACTAAACCGGAATTACTTAAATAAAGCTTCCTAAGCTTCTACATAGAGCTGTTACTATATTACAGTTTATTTAACTCATTCTCTTTCGCAATGATGGAAGGTTTACTCTGCTCGGACAAACTAAGGATCCTCATGGTATGACCCTTGCTCTGACGAATTGCCGGTACCTCAGAAACAGGCTCATTCTACTAACGACTCTTCTAATTCAGAAGGCGAACAATCGAAATTGACGAACACGTGTCACAACAGTGCCTGAAGAAGAAACACAATAAAGACCTGATATAGCCAAGCCATCCCGACGATCCCAAAAGACCCGCAGTTGCTCGGACATTTGAAGGATTTTTCCCATATGAATAAAATAAATACTGGTGGAGAATGTGGTAAAAACATAAGCACATACCATTTCTCCTCTTGTAAGCATCCATCACAATAAAATAAACGTTTTAGACACTAAAGGAGAATGAGTTAAATTAAGCTTAAGCTTCTAAATAGAGTTGTATTATAGTAAGACAAAATTGTTTCATTGAAAAAATACGAAAAGAAAGTAAATAACGGAATTATTCGTTTTAAACCTATTTCTTTAGCACTAACAGGATGGCGGACATACAAAATAAGATCCTCATTCATATTATTTTAGAATGTGTGGGTGTTTTTCTTAAAAAAGCTATCACTAACGACATTTCTTTATTTCACGCAATTTGATAGTCGTCTTCATTTTCTGTTCCCTTCTAAACAGGCTATGGTTGTAATCATGGCTGCCATAAACTACGAACAGACACCATCAGTTGCTGGGGATTGAGCTTAGACATGTGTCAAACGCGTAAGTAGATTCATATATATATATATATATATATATATATATATATATATAGATTTTTTATATATAATCCTTTCAATTAATTAAATATATATATATATATATATATATATATATATATATATATATATATATATTTAATTAATTAATTGAAAGGATTATGACAAAAAAAATCTATATTTAGTATATTGTACAGAAATAAATGGCCTTTTGGAATCCATATAGATAAAACGCAAAATCAATCAATCAATCAATCTATCTATCTATCTATCTATCTATCTATCTATCTATCTATCTATCTATCTATCTCAGTCTTTTCAAATCTATCTATCTATCTATCTATCTATCTATCTATCTATCTATCTATCTCAGTCTTTTCAAATCTATCTATCTATCTATCTATCTATCTATCTATCTATCTATCTCAGTCTTTTCACAGCTATCTCTCTGTCTATCTATCTACCTCAGACTTTTCACGTATCTATCTCCCAGAAATTATAATAGTTGTTGTATAAAACACAGGTAGGCTAAAAACAAAAATAAATGTGTCTGATCAGTCTTTTCAAATCTATCTATCTATCTATCTATCTATCTATCTATCTATCTATCTATCTAAAACAGATGTATACTTGACTTCATGGTTTCAATAATTCAGTCCTCTGTGGAAACTCAAAACATCCTGAAAGCCTTCCCTGGACTTATTGTTTCAATTTCAATGGATAAAATCTGGGAGGCTGGAATTACGAACTTGATTGAAATATGGTTGAACATTGTGAAATAAAATGGCAAAGATGTTGTCTAACAGTTGGTGTCGAAAATAAAAGAAAATATATTTTCTTTTCTCATCAAAAAAGCAAAAAAACTGAACGAAAACTTTGCCCAGTCCAGTATATTTGTTTTCTAAAAAATCGATCCGAGTTTAAAGTTTCCTAATGTAATAAGATGACGTGAGGACATCGTGGCAGTTATCAGCGCGGAGATTGAACTCAGCGACCCGTGTTCAAATCTTACCCTAGCCAGCTGCGTTCTTTTTTCACATAAATGCTTTTGTAAAAGGCACGGATCCGTGTTTTATCCTTCCAGATATGGGTTAAATAACTGCGTGGGCTAGACTTTCTTGCCTTGGTTGGTAATTTAGTGTTAGAGAATAAAAATTCTGAATGCCAATCTGTTGAGAGATCAACGGGAAACTACTCTACTGTCTTTCCCAAGAATGTATAGACATCCACAATGTCATCTGTCGGGAATTGGAATCAGCTCTGTTCTAAAAAGAATAGGCATTAAAATTAAAAGTAAAAAGAATTTTAATTCGACTAAAATAAAATTTTATGTAAAATTTCATCCATAGCAGTTTTTTTTTGCTTATTATTTTTTATTAAAATGTTTTCTTTTAATAGTATTCAAAAAACGTATCTTCTATATGTTAAACAGCGTGATTTTTTTTTCTCAATTTATTTTGAAAGAAAACAACGGGTCTGCCTGTTCCAGTTCTTGCGCCCATCGTTGTTACGGTCCAACAAGTAGTCAATGCTGTCATAGTGAATGCGCCGGTGGATGTACGGGAGCCGGATCAGAAGACTGTTACGTACGTGCTTCCATACTTTTTTTCTTCTGTCGATATCTCAGAGGTTTCGTCTTAGCAATATTATAAGTATCACATTATTATTTTGTTTTGTGCTCCATTCATCTAAACTCTGTAAATATCTATAATGTATTATTCTAATATTATGTGCCGTGGTCCTTAAGGACGTCAGAAATCATGGATCTTCACATCTTCCTGTTCTTTGTAGCTCTAAGCAATATTTGACTACCACCCTTCCTTGTCCATGTTTTGTCATCCATTCATATAAACTCGTGAGGTAGGTTACTTGTTATTTCCCGTTGCCCCTCCTACAGTCTGTATGTTATCTGAGTCTTAAATTCTCCAAGCCCTCTTTCCTCATTATGTACCGCAGAAATTTCAACTGTCTCTTTTAGATTTTATGTGCGACGATATTTCTGTCCCTAATTTTCTTTAAAACTTGCTCGTTACTCATGTGTTTGTCGCTGGTATTCCCAGCGTCTGTCTGTAAAATATCTATGTCGTTTTTCTTCTTCATCTGAAAGGAAATTGTCCAGCATTCACTGACATATCTTATTTTTGCTTTTTGTCCTCGATTGGCTGTGAAGAGCGAGGAGCAATATGCGGTCAACTCCATTTTTGTTGTTTCTTTTTTGTTTTTTGGTATATTTTTCGATCCATCATTTTTCTATTTTTTGCTTTTCTCTTCCCACCTTTGTTTTATATCTTTCTCTATGATAGGATAAAGAACAAATATGAAGCGTTTGTAAATTGAACATGCCTTAACTTGAACTACCTTACAACACCTTTCCTATACACGATATGTTGCTATTTCTATGGCAAATATTTACACCGACTACATTCCTTATTTCCTCTAGTACAGACCTTTGCAATTAAGAACTGCCTTCGTACGTACACAGGGTCGACTCATCCTAATTCCGTTCACATTCTAGCTTCTATCCCAGAACTGTTACTTTCTGAAACAGTCTGTCTAAAAGATGCATCCTTGATAACTTCAATCTTAACCTCGTCAATCGTTATCTATCCTACATATCCTCATAATAGGCACTTCTTACCTCTTCCTTTTTCGTCTTAAAAAAAAAAAACTTATTTAGCAACTCTCTATTATGAGTGGGTTTTGTATTAAAACAACAGTACAAAAGATTTCTCTAGTAAAGTTAAGAGTTTTTTTTCTAGCTTTTCTCTTTCACATTCATGTCGCACTCTCTCGAAATAGCGGTGCCATGTTGTTACCAAAAGTGTTGGAGTTGCTAGGAAATGAACTGTTGCGTGAAGCTGCGTGAATATTTCCTGATAGGTCAGAAAATATCTCATGCCTTTTTAATTTTTCTTTGGTTCGAAAGTGGATGTGCAGAGCCGGCCTCAAATTAAGTCAGTTGGTTTCATTTGAACAATAACCTTCGAAGTGAGCGTATCCGCTTTCGTTAATTTTCGACAGGCTACGACACATTCAAGCATGCTTTTCCGAAATACTTTGACAGTTTGTTTTAAATCGACACCTTTTTGAGGATTTTAAGGGACAAATATTACAAAATTCTCATGATGTAATAAACTGTTATTAATTATGAAAGCATAGTGCAATATAAAATTGAATTCGTCACGCGTCTATGTTTTGCCCCAAATAATTGCCTAATTTATTAGC